CTTATAGACTTCACGAAACTGTTTTTTAGGTATTTTTTTACATAGACACCTTCTATCGGGATGTTAAGAGCATTCCATGGAAAATAACAAAAAGTGTATCTCGAGCCGGTTTCTCAAACTTACCTACCCCACCTTTAAAGTAAGAAAAGCAACACAGCAAAGACATAACCTAAAAGTGTATACGGTATAACACTCATTAGAAAAACTGCTGAAGTGGAATTGAACCTGCCAGTGTCTTACATCAAGGCATTGTCTGTTAAAATGGGAAAAATAATGAGATAAGGCTCTAGACATTGCATATTTAATTTAAAACGTATTTTTAGCAGCATAAAAATGGACCCATACCTGAAGTAAAAAAAAAAGATTATACAAAGACCTTGTTTTTGGCTCTACTGTTGAACAAACCTGGAGCATGACTCATCCCAGCTAGAAGTTAAAGCTTGAACTGATGTCAAGGAAAACTCATAAGTGAGAATGTCTGTATATTTCCACATGTAGATGCCACTCTGGCATTACAAATTATTTTCGTTTTTGTGAAGTTTAGCTTTAGTAGATCTTTGTAGTCATGTCTTTAGAACGATCCTTGAGAGCTACCACTGTATGAAGTACACAAGTACAATTTAATGTCTCCTTCAATAACTGCTATCTATTAAGGGCCGGTTTCGTTGACACAGTGTCAGAGGTGTTGACTCAACTCTATGGTAATTTATGGGATTGTATATTTAGTGGTGCCGTATAACTGTGTACTGCCTTCCTTAAGAGGTGATACTAATGTTCTGCCTAAAATCATTTACATGCAGGGAGGAGAATATCAGCCGCTCAACGTAATGTTTTGTCATGGTTTGTTGAAATTGTGTTGGAGAGGTTAATCAACAGGGTTTTTTTTATGACGCAGTGTAAACAAAGGTGTGGCATTATAATCTTCACAAATATACATTGCAGTGTTCTTATATTACTGAAAATCTACTGCAGGGCTACTATATTCATTTACTTTAGACTAAATACATCATGAAAACTATCCTTTGGATTTGAAAAAGAGTTTTCCCACAGGATCTGTCATGGTGCTCATCACAAAATGCTTTCACTGTATTAATGTGTATCAAATGCACAAAGAGAGTGCCTTTCTTGCTGTAAATATTGTTTTTTTTAACTGTTATAGAGCTTTTGACATAGCTGTTTGTGTTAATATAGGAACTAGAGGTCAAACTCTGTGTCACTACACTTACAGAGCCATGAGAAGAACAGCGTTGTTGCTACTGCTGGCTATGCACTGACACAGTTACCACATATGTGCTGCTTGCTCCACATCAGGTTCCCATCATTAGAGCCCCTTTTCTCTAATTAAGCGTCGAGCTGTTTTTCTCTAGGGACAGCCCAGCATAAATATACTTTGAGCCGTAACTCGTTTACAAACTACAGAAGCTTGTAAGCAGGCTAAACTGTAATATATTCAGGTATAACACACAGTAAGATTACACTTGCGGCATAGTGGGGACACACACATTCCTATATTTACTTCATAGTAGGGACACACACAGACAGCAATACTTGCATTATTGTTTATAAAATTCAAAGTGTTGGGAGAAGTCAAACAAAAGCAAATGTTCTGTCTTTTGTCGATCTGGCTTACAGATGAGCATTGAATGCATCGTTACTCTGCGCAATGTTTCCCAGAGTGTGAAAGAGACATCATACTATGCTGAAAACACAAGGAGTTGTTTTGCCCCTGGCACTGACACACTTACGTTCCCAGGATCTCTTTGAAGTCATACTGATCCTTCACATCTGTGGTCTTCTTTTTCCAGGCATGGCAATCGTCACCCAGTGGCATCTTCTTGTTGTTACGGTCCAAAACAATGCTAGTGAAGAGAAAAGGAGAAGAGGGAAAGCTCATTAACACCAAAAGTTGAACTGTTTCTCCCCGCTTCCTGCATGAAAAACAAAACTGTGCTGATACTGCAGCTCACTATTCTTAAATGGTTGATTTTATTGAAGTTACTATAATTGTTTTTGGGGATTTTTCATACAACTTGGATTACTGACATCAGCAGATTTCTTACCGTTTTTGACTGTGATGATGCAATACATGATAACATGTTGGAAAACACTGACATATGATATGACCTGTGCATATTCAGACATAAAGGCGATTCAAAGTACTTTACATTAACCATTTGTCAAAAAAGAAGCAGGTCCAATTTCTGTTTAACATTGTTATGTTGTTGTGTAGCAGGCATTTCACTTTATGGTGTCAATGACAGGTGTGTTGGAGGAGAGTACTTCCCTCAGCATAGTGTCGCACAATGAACAGAAGTAACGCACCCATTGTTCAGCACAATTGAATGTCATGATGCCAAAAAGATTAAAAAAAATTAAAACAGGTTCAGGCCAGGATCTGGTCTAAACTTACTAGTTGTAATCGTATCAGCTAACAAACAAACAAATCATTACAAAAGGTAACAGTCTGATAACATCTACACCGTTGCATGGGTCCGAGGTGACATTAAGAATGTGGTAAATTCTGTTTCCTGTCTAAAAAACACACCGAACGTATCGTATGACACTGGATACAGACCAACACAGGCACAGGCTGGATTAAATCTATTACTACAGAATTGCTTGTCAGAGGTTAACACTCAGTCATTGTTGTCTTGCAACTCATGACACTTTAGGGTGGTTTGGGTTTCAGCATAATTCAAAGTGGTTCCTGCAATGTTTGCAGCATGGCAGAGTGAAGAAGAGCTGCTGTGAATATTCTTTTGTTTTTCTGGCCAAGTATCTTTATGACCTCTCCAGCTTACAGTGGAATTTATGGCAGAGAGGGTAAAAGTCATGGTCAATATCTACTGGTTAATGAGTCAGTTCAAAAATATAGTGATCCATTTTACACCACATGGTTAACAGCTGCATAAAACCCTGTGTAATAACTTTATTGTCAAACGTTTAATGACTGAAACATACCGAACTGTGTGTCTGTCAGAAGATTCCCACACACACTGTTGTATAAGAGACAAGCTTATCTGAATATAACATGTCAGCTAATCTGTAATTTGTGTGAATTTACTGAGCTTGTATAATGCTCAAGCTTAGGTGAGGGGATGTGTAAAGCATAAAAACACCTTTAAAAGTAATAAAAAACAAAAGGATGTTAATTATTTTTGTGTCCCTTGCTCATGTTTTTCAGAGGAAGTTAACATTCAGATGTTTGTCCTCATGACATTCTCTGCTGTCACAGCTATCATCATCTAAACCCAGAAAGTGCCTTTAACTGGAGGCCTGAAGGACTAAAATAGCTCTGTTCATATCAGCGCGCCTCTCTCCTCCTCTGCTCCTGCTGCCTGCCTGGCAACTTCACAGTCTGTCTACATGAGATGATGTAACGTATTGTTCTCAACTGTACAAGAGCCATTTTGTTAAAGACATTATAATAATCATTTTCCTATTATTTCTGAGTCGAATCATTAAAATGCTGAATTGTGTTTCTGACTGGCACTGGGCTGCTGTTATCTCAGAATAAATGTTAACAGGACAGGACCTATGCAAGCTGCAGACACTGATTGCCACACACACACACACACACACACACACACACACACACACACACACACACACACACACACACACACACACACACACACACACACACACACACACACACACACACACACACACACACACGCGCACCTTCACTTTTGTCAGAAGTCAGCTTCATACGTGTCGTCATGGAAACCCAAAGCAGCTGTATCTGAGAGTCGACATTGCGTTGGAAGCTTAGGTGGAATTCATTCTGGACACTTTAATGGCTATATGCTGTTGATTCATTACCAAAAACCACAAGAGCGTCCATGTTTTGTTATTGGATATGAATAAGGACAGCATATCTCACACAAAAAGTAATGACAATGATATAACCTGATCAGGTATATAGACAGCATCAGTCAGTGTAACCAAAGGTTTCAGGAACAAACTGCACAAAGGATTACATTTCAAATTGTTATCATTCATCATTTCCTCTACCGCATTTTGCATGCCATTTGAAGCAACTTAAGGAAAAGGAAGTATTTCCAAACATGGCATGGTAAAGCAGCATGCAATGTGCTTAGAGGAAGCAGTAAGAGGAAGTCCAGTCAAATGTCTGGTAAATGTTTGCTGGTAAATCTGCACCTTTAAAGCCTCTCTATTACTGGAAGGTAATAACTACTGTAGGGCACAAACAAACAATACATAGCAGACTGTAACTCTAGTCCTCAGTACGTCTTCAACTTGACACCAGTCTCTTTCTTCAGAATTGAGGATCCATTACCAAGCATGATTTTTTTGTCGTCTCACTTTGCTCATACGGAGATTCAGAGAGATGTACGTTAATGAATTCACTGATATTGAACATCAAAGTCATTTTAACATCATAGCGTTTTAAAATCTATAAATGCATCTGAACTTTGATCGGTACTGGTTGTGCTCATTTCAGAAATCGACCAGAATTTACAGACACACACACCTCAATATTCTTCAAAACACACTTGGATTTCACTTCAATGGCGCAAACATCCACATATGTTTAACTTTATATTACATTTCATACAACACATGTCAAAGCAATTGGGGTTCAAGAGACAATGTTCAGCAAGTAGGGTCTGCTTTTCAAACAGGCAAAAGATATTGAGTAAGGTTCAAGTTACTGACACGCAGGGGCAGATAGGGGCAAGTTTAAAAAATGTGGGAGAGTAGAGGAGAGAGACACATGCAGGTATCGCATGAACAAGGCCAAAAACAGCCAAATCATGTCTACTGATGACATGACTTTTGGCCAACGGGTGAAGATGAGCTGCTCAAAACCCACGAAGCAAAAGGATTGAAAAGGCTGGAGGAGATGCATGATATTAAAATCACAAACCCTGACTAGTATGTAACATGCAGCATTCATTCTTTTCACAAAGGTTTACACAAAAGATAGTCGCAGTACTCACTGGTTTCCCATTCCTGTGATGTGCAGAAGACAGAAGAAAGACACACACACACACGACCACAGTTAAAGGTGACGAAACGACATGTGGTAACTGTTTTGTGTGAAATTGTATTTTCAATGGTGTGAATACTTTTAGCAACACTACTACACACACGAAGGACCTAGAACATACTAACAGACAAAGTTAGAGTTCTGATACTAAAACTAGATGTCTAAAAGCTAACTTAAAGAAACTGCTCTTGAACACATCACTTGTTTTGTGTGAACTGGATGGCTCCAGGCTCAGCGGAAGACGACCAAGACTTGTCATGTTAACGGACTGCTTTCCTTGTAGAGCAGATGCACTACAAGCCTAATAGGTCTAGTTTGTGTAATGATTTTAAACGTGTTTACTTATTTCAGAGCTTTATCAGGGTATGCGCATACCTACGTCTCAAATATTGCAATGCTTTCAGAGCTGCAGAGGCACTACCCTCATTATCAATCTGAATACTGCCCTGAGGAGAAAAGCTGAGCATTCTCCTCACACCTGGCCGGGCAGGTTTGGTATCAGATTCCATAGAGTATAATGCATTTTTTGAAGGACAGTAATAGTATTTTCTAAATCCCAGAAGTGTTATGTTTTCCCATAATGGCTTTATTCTCTCTTTGCAAAGAAGGAAATAAACACATCAACCGAAGTGAAATGCATGCAGCTGGAGCCAGCACAACAAAACTCCATTCACACACTTAGTACGAAAAATACAAATGATTCATTGTTTCAAATGGTTGAACTGATAAAGATAAGAGGTATCTGTAGTGGTGGGCGAGTGTATTTTCTGTAGGCCAGTGTTTAAACAAAGAGATAGCAGTGGGGAGATAGTTCCGGATTCCCTGTTTAATAACTTGTACCCTTCATTATTATCTATTGATTACCTATATATTCTGCTCTGCGTGTCCCTCGATCCATCAACCCTATTCATCCACTGGCTCAGTGACAAACACAGAGATATTGACTAACAGCAGTCTGTAAATCTTCTTTAAAAGTGACCTTTTTAAGTGATAGCAGACTTATTCCATAAGAGATTAGAATGTGTTTTGTGTATGAAAGAGAGATGAAAGAGAGAAACAAAAAGAGGGAAAACGAAATTAGAAATGAGTGAGGGGGTAAAAATACACATCCTGTCATGTTGACTGAGAAATCCTGCATGCTATTTTTGCAGTTTAGAATGATAATAATAATAATAACACCATCGCTGTTTCATCGCTGTTTATATGTGGTCAAACCATATTATAGAAAAAAATCTTGACCTTATAAGGTTACAATAA